AGGAGAGAAGTGCTTGGGGTCAAGCTCTTTTCCACTGGCCTTCATTTTCAGGATGAAGACCTGACAAGCACGTCGGGCAAGGCGATCTTGATGAATGAAGTCCTTCCAAACATGCATCTGCTCCTCTGGCCATGGCACCTGATAAAGCCGGTCCCCATGTTGACCATAGGCACCCTTCACCTTCTCTTTCTCTGGATTCGAGTGGCCTTCATAGTCGACAAACATCGTGAGTCCTCTCCAGAGAAATGGTGCCTTCCTCCTGGGACGTGCAGAGACATCAGCTGCCTTTTCCTCCACAATCATCGCTTGACCCACTGTAGGACCCAGCAAGACACTACTGCGATCTCAGTGGAAATTGATGAGGTGGCTTCTGAAACCGTTTACGAGGAGCAATGTGCCAGCGGGCTGCTGTCACAGACCTCCTTCAAAGCTTGTAGTTCTCTTTTGGAGAGCCATTCACTGGCATGTTGAGGTTCCTGCTGTCGCCCCTTCTTCTCCTGAAGCTCCTTTTGTGACGAAGACACCATCAGGGTGGTATAGAAGCTGCTCTTCAGGCGTTTTGCCAGCTGTGGAGTGTCCTCTTCAGCTGTTCGCTTGAGGGCTGCAGCAGGGAAGTCATCCAAGAGCGCATGACGCCGTTGGCTAGGCGTCTGATTCTGCAGCTGTTGCTTCATTTGCTCACGAGCATGTCGATGCTGATCTGGCATTCTTTCATCATCAGCTCTGACATAGTCATCTTCTCCCTTTTCTACCTCCTTCCAGAACTCATCATCGGAGTCAGGCTCTTTTCCTGGATCTTCAGGAGGTTCGGAAGGAGTGTACTCACCATCTTCTATCGGCAGCTCGGGAAGCTCTGGTTGACGTCCTCCAACGCTGCCATCCTTGATTGCCTTGAGCCGAGGTCTTTTCTGGCGCCGGCGATCTTCAATGCCAAGCATCTGTTTAGCCACCTTTTTCTCACGATCGCCAAAGAGCTTCTTCATGGAGCGCATGCCACTCATCATCCTTCGAGCTTCCCCAGCGACTTCATCTTTCTTCCTCTGGGCGTCCAGAAATTGACGGACCTCCATCTGAGCGTCTGGAGGCGACTTCAATTGCGTCAATTCTTCATACTCTTTGCGCCCATCAGGTTCTTCTTCTCGAAGCTTGAGCTCATCCATCTCTTCTTTCACAATGTTCGGGGCTGTCTCCTCTGAAGTAGCTCGGCGAAGGTTTGGACCTGCCAAAAGAAGACATCTCCCCCTCCAAGACACGAAGTACTTCTGGTGGGATTCTTGCATCACAATCACAGCAGGCCCCCTCCATCGTCCAGCATCCTTTCTATAGCGAGCCTTACCCATCTTGGGAACGAAGAAAAAGACGACCTCCCCAGGATGAAATGGCGGGTCTGTGGCCTTCTCATCAATGCTCGCTTCAACTTCTGCTGGATGTCATCTCGTAGGAGGATCTGTCGAGCAGCATGACGTACTTTGCAGCTTTTCAACATCTCAGCATCAGTATCAAGACCTTGGGCTTGGGTCAATGGCTCATAGTCTTCATCAGCCAGCAACTCCGGATAGGAGACATTCTTGCCAAAGACCAGCATGTTTGCTGAGTATCCCTTTCGGGTCACAAGCTCATTCTTTGCCTCGGTCGCGGCTGCTAAGGTGGCTGCCATTTCTGCAGAAGACTGAGCATTGAACTGAACATTGAGGGCACGCCAGATCATACCCAAGATGCCACCATGTCGTTCGGCAAGTGCATGTTGCCAGCCAGCATGTGCCGCGGTGGTGATGGAGTGAATGCCAAAGCCTTCAAGCATCAAAATCCATTCCTTCTCAAACTCACCACCCTGATCGAGCACCATCCTCGTAGGACGACCAAAGATGGCAATCCAATGCTTGAGAAACTTCTTAGCGACATATCCGGGCTGACGAGTCTTCACAAGAACGGCACGGTGGTAATTTGTCCCGGCATCCACCATGGACAGAGTGACAACGGTCTGGCCTTTGATGTTTTGAGCATACTTCAAATCAACATGCACCTCCACATTGAAAGCAGCCGGCCTGGATGATGGCCTTTGAGTCGGAGGCTTGCCAGGCTCTTGAACTTGTTCACATGTTGGACATCGGAAGGATGAAGCTTGCTGAAGTAGTTCCTTTGGAGCTCCACCGAGCTTCAGCATCCTGTGGAGCGTTGTATTGCTTGGATGGCCAAGACGAAGGTGAATCTTCTTGAGGACCTCCTTCTGAGATGGAGAGGTCTGAGTGACATCTGGTCCGCTCCCGTGGCGGTTCATAGGTTCATTCACCTTCTCATATTCATGGTCCAGAGCCTCCTCCAGATCCATTTTCAAGGCATCGTCGTGCGACGTGTCATCTGACAACCAAAGGACTTCGTACTTCTCCGCGAGAGGATCGTTGACATGGATTTTACAGTATACATGTTCGAATCCACTTCCATGCATGAGCCTATCCAGAACAACATCTTGAATCATCACCGTGGCCGTCAGGTCATTACGAACAACGATGTCAAGGAAGAGCCCAATATGCTTGGAAACGGCTGCGGCAACAGTTTTACCGGCGGAGGTCCTTTGGTTCAAGCCCTGTCGCAGTGTCGAACTTCACGGTCACTCTGACCATGGTGCATGGTGCAGTCACACATGGACCCGAAACAGACCTTGCGACTTTAGCTCCGAATCCGAGTTGAGTCAAAAACTTGGAGACCTCAACGATTTCACGGCCTCCATCGTCAGTGGAGACTGACAAGCTGCAACGGATGGGCACGCTTGAGTAGGGCATTCCTAACTCTTGCGCGTTCTGAGGCGTGACAATTGCAAAAGGAGCCGTGGAGTAACCTACCCTTTTGACCACCTCGATCCACCTGATCCTTGCTCACAAATGCAAAACCACCGATGCCATTGAGTTCATTGTACGCACATGCGCACACTCCATTCATCATCGAGAAGCATAGGCATAGTGTGTTGCCATGCAGCAGACTTGTTTGGAGGACGAAAAGCTCGTTTTGGAGACTTTGACTGTCACTTTTGGAGGAAGTCTCGTACGAAATGCTCGTTTTGGAGTTTTGGAGAGTTGACGCGTGACGTTTGGAGGAAGTCTGGTATGAAAAGAGCCAAGAGCTGTCGAAATCTGCAAACCTCGTTCCCAAAGAACTATCAAAACATGGTCCTTCCCACAACTGCGCACAACGTAACGTGGTTGCATGTTTTAACACATCTCCGATTCTGGAAAGAGTTTGGTGCACATGAAAAGTTCCCCTAAATATTTTTCCAGGAAGGCATCAACTGACAAACAAATTTCTAACATGCAAAAAAATGAATGTCCAATCAGCACCCTCCATATGCAATCAGTTGAACGTGGTGGTGTGCCACTTGCCAACCATTTATACATGCCAACTCCACACGCTCCTCATTGAAGTCGGCAAAGGATCCAGATCATCACACACACCTGATCCCTTGTCGGCGTGGGGGATCAGCCCAGCAGTCGGGGGAGTCCACCATTCCAATGGTCCATGAAAGGAATCTATTAGACTGGAGTCTCTGCAGTGAACGGCAGGAGAACGTGTTTCCCCTCGACTTCAGCAGTACGATTGTGCACAATCCGCTTTTCATTTCTTTGGCGTTGGCGCCAATCTTCTGCAGTCTGGATTTCTTTTGCTTCTGCCGAAGACCATTTAACACTATAAGGACCGTATCCTTGTGAGAACGAACACTGCGCTTTTGCGATGCGGCTGGAATGTTTGGATCCTTTTGTTTACCATACAGTCGCGTGCGTTGCTGGGGCCCATGCCACTTGGCTTCAGCCAATTCCGCAAAACTGACGGATTCGGTTTGATCTGCATCAGGCCAAGTTAAACGGCGCCAATACCGAACTAAAGGCTCAAAAAGCAGGGGTCCAAGGGCAGGCACCGCCCTTGCTGTAAACCTCCAATCTGGGGGTATTGCACCGAAGAAAAAAGAGTTCCCGGGTTGCTGATCCCAGTCCCATGGATAAGTTGGAAGCAATCGCTTGGCCTCAATTAATTCGGGCTCAGTTTCGGTAGCAGCACTTTGTGTGTCAAGATGCTGTTGACTACTTTGGTTTCGGAGACTTGACGAACTTGACGCGTGACTTTTGGAGGAAGGTCTCGTATGAGACGCTCGTTTTGGGAACTTGACGCGTTACATTTGGAGGAAGTCTCGTACGAAACGCTGAGACTTGACGCGTGACTTTTGGAGGAAGTCTTGTATGCAACGCTCGTTTTGGAGACTTGCCGCGTGACTTTTGGAGGAAGTCTCGTACGAAACGCTCGTTTTGGAGACTTGCCGCGTGACTTTTGGAGGAAGTCTCGTACGAAACGCTCGTTTTGGAGACTTGCCGTGTGACTTTTGGAGGAAGTCTCGTACGAAACGCTCGTTTTGGAGAGTTGATGTGTGACTTGCGGAGGAAGTGTCGTACGAAACGCTTTTTGGAGACCCTACGCGTGACTTTTGGAGGAAGTCTCGCACGAAACGCTCGTTTGGGAGACTTGACACGTAACTTTTGGAGGAAGTCTCGTATCAAACGCTTGTGTCGTAGGAAGTCTAATTTGATAGACTTGCAGTGAAGTCGTGTATGAACCCCGCGCTAGGAGAATATGAGTGGGTTGGACTGTGTTCGCCTCGCGTGCTCTAACTCGTCGTCTCGGGTCGTCGTGCTGGGGCCCGCTGGGGTCCATTGGGCGAAGCTTTTGTCGATGGAGGGCAATCGTCAGATTCGTCGCAAATACCGTGGTTTTGGGATGTTGACGAGTGCCCTACAAGAGTCAAGAGTGTCCGTGTCTCACAAGAGGAGTTTCCTACAAGGGAGCCCCGCAAGAGTGTCCTACAAGAGTGTTTCCCGAGAGGTCCCAGCTGGAGAATCCTGATGAATTCTTCCGGGGTCACACCACGTGCTGAGGCTCTGTTTCACTAAGCTCGTGCTAAGCTCTGTGTCGGGGTCCAAAAGGTTCGTTCCACTCCCGCCCCACTCTGAGTGTTCAGCAATGCCAACGAGGCCGTTGAGGTCAGTATTGATTTTCAATCCTTTCAACCTGGAGCAAAAACCACGCCCACAGGGGGAGGTTGCGACGGCACCCGCCACCACAAGACAAACTGGGTAAAGGAAATTAATCACGAAGTATTTACCAGTACTTATTCCCTTCTGAGAACCATGTTCCTCGACACGTTCAGATAGCCCGTTTCATATTACATACCACTGGTTTCTTCGTTGGAATATTTGAAGGCCTTCTCTAACCACATGTTTTGTTCACCACTGCTTTACAATCATCATGTTCTGCCAACTGTCGTTTTCTTTCCATTTCGCCGTGTTTGGTGTCAGCTACCCGAGCACTCGGTAGGAGATAGGTGCAGGCCACCCTTGAGGTGGCACAAAGCATGTTGAAGCAACATGTGGTACCAAATCAAGTCCTAAGGATCTGAAGGCATGTGTAGGCCACCCTTGAGGCGGTGCAAGAAGCAAAACAAGTGAAAGCCCTGCATGGAACCGATCACACCATCGCACCGCGAACAACAAGGACTTGAGCTAGGACAAATACAAGCATACTCTCCACAATTTCCATTTGAGAACAAATTCTGTTCTATGTATGCAACAAAGAAGTGGTGTTCCCATTGAAAGCAACAAAAACAAACATCCCATCTAATGGCTCAACAAAACAAGCCACGAGACTCTCGCTTTAAAAGGCACACTCGCTCGCACACATGCTTCTTCTCTAAGGCCGTCTTAAATGTGAGGACTGCTCTTTTGTTGGGCGTAATCAAACACACAGCGGTGCGGCATGGTGCGGCACCTCACACAGCTGTAGGCCGGGAATCTCGCCAAGGCTGCTTGGACCTCCTCGCTGGGCACCTGGAAAAGGACGAGTCGCGGAGTTGACCTCGTTCCGGTCCGTGTCGGTGACCACACATGCCACACACGGGAGATCGGTGGCACGTGCCGCAAACGGTCTGATGTGTGCCATTCTGGTCCGCAGCTTTGGTAAAACCGCGTTCTGGTCGCTCACGAATCTATTTGATTTCCTTACACCGTACACCATTGCCATACGACGCTTACAACGGTACAAACTTCTATACTTGTATGTTCATTTAAGAGACAAAGCGAGATAGGTGTCTCCGGAGCACAGCACCCCTCATACTGCGAGCAGATCGAAGCCTGCCATAAGAACCTTATGAATAGCTGCCACACGTCGACTACCCAAAGATCAAAAAGAAATAAGAGGTGGTAAATGGTGACAATATCGCTCTCTTCGTTATTTATATACAGTCCTGTATCTTGTCAAAAGTGGTTGCTATGACTAGCGGACTGTTGCCGGATCATGCGAGATCGACGCCAAATTCTTATACCATTCTTCAGCCTGGAAAACCATTGTGGATGGGACGGTGAAAGGGTCAAAGCTCAAAAGTCCACAAGTTTCACGTGAAGGACTCATGGTTTACCACATAGTACCAGGATAGATAAAGCCCAAAACAATCAACTAACCCGGGTTTACTTTTGGGTGCCTAATTGACATTGTGCTGCAGTCTGCTTGCATTGTCATTCGCATAGACAAACTGAGAACCTGATCATTGTTGAACCGTAACACACCCATTTCAACTTAGCTTGTCGTGATGTTGTGTATTGCTATGTTCAGTAAATTTGAAGCTCCGTCATCGGATCACCCAAACTGATGCCAAAGCGGCACCCACTTTGGCACCGCCTTTGCAGTGGGATTGGGAATTACATAAAACCAGGAATGGACACGTCAGAGCCGGGAAAAACCGGAGCCTCCGTTTGATTGCGCCTCATGGGGGGCACTCCTACACATTTTGGGCGGGAGTTCGCGCCGCTGCCGAGTGCCTGCACACTCGGTGGTGGCGCCACGGTGCGTTCGGGACTCTGGGAGCCACGGCGTGCCTGAGTCCGGTGCTCTCGTGCGGAGCCACACGGGACGTGCGCGCCAAAAAGGAAAGGGTCTTTAGGAAACTCCGGGTCTACATGATCACAGTGAACACACTTATGAATAGTTATATGATATAACTTCGATTGATTCCCCAGTCTGGGGCTCTGTGACGAAACAAACTCTGCTGCCAGACTCTTCCGATGTAGGAACACAAACATCAAGAACTCTCTGTGTCAAATGTGTGCCTCAAACACAACACTTACGTTAGTTGGCAACATGAAGAACGCCAAACACTTTCTACCCGTTGATTGTTGCTGCTGGTGCGAGCCTACAAAGCAGGTTGCAAATGTAAGGCTTGAGGAACTGTTCCCGTGTCCAGCCAGATTGGAAGGCTTGCCGTTCAACTGGACCGTTATAACCTCCACCCCATGAAAGACCGACTACAGTGTCCTGTACTCCAAGTTGGCCAGTGACAGTGGCCACAAGAAAACACTTTGTTGCTCACAACTGCAACAAATTCTTCTTGCTTGAAACTTGGTCTCGGTCGTTTGACATCTGAGACAACACGGGATAAACAAGGCTATGAATGGTATTACAATGCATCAACCTTCACGCCCGAACCTATGTATCAACATACCCGCCCATGGAAGAAACTCGAATCTTTTGGGACCAAACCAGTTTTTGATCAACCGGTGAAACGACATGCTGTGAGTCCGTGGGTTCCTTTGGGGTTCAGGACCTGCACAGTACCGCCTCAAGCCCAAGCGCCTTCTTTTTGTGTGGGGAAGAGGATGCTTTCCTGGCCCAGACAAACGCATCTTTTCGATGTGGGCGTGTTTTCTGGATGTGTTTTCAAGCCTGACATCCTGAACGCGTCTAGTCTACAGTACTCAAAAAAGACCGTTTCAAACAATGCGTTTCTAATTTGCAGAAACTTCCATTATACCCGAGGCTCGCCCGCCGTCGCAACGTTGAAACACAATTTAGATTGGTGTAAAGTTTTCCATTACTGGGTGCCCCTGCCAGGTATTTCTGTTGATCTATCTAGAAATTAGCCACATAGTTCCAAAAAATTTGAACATGTTGCCGATAAAAACCAACGTCAATGAAACCAATTGAAGTTGAGTATTGCTGGAACATTGATTTGCTTGGTTAATTTTCACCTCAAACAAAGGGACGGACTGCAAATTTGAACCATAGGATTTTATGCCCGAAAAAACAGCAATTAGATGGGAAATTGAGAACCCATGAAGCGAAGGAACATGGAAATCCACAGGTTGAAAAATACAACATTGATAGGACAAATATGCGACATGCAAGAACCAAAACGTTTTAGAACGCAAAAGTAACCGAGTCTGTTGTAAAAAACCGAGACGGCGTTCACAAAAGGTACTGGCAAACCAAGGTGCTTGGCGTTTCTCGAAATCGGAAAAAACACAAGAGAAAAATCCAACTGGGCATGAATGCAATGGCAAAGTTTCGCACTTGTCAAAAAATTTGTGCCGTTTGTAAATGCATCAACAAATGGGTTCAAAAGTGTCAGCCTTTTCAATATGCGCCATGCGGCGATATGAACACGGCAATACGTCAGTGCCTTGGTGTGTGCCCAGATATGCGGAAAAACATGACAACATCGCAACAAGCCAAAACCATGGAACCTTTTCCGGAAACGGCCTTGGAACCCGCCAGCAAGTTAGCACGGCAGCGTGACCCGATGGTCGCATCTCAGCGTGACAAGGTGTGAGCATGTTTAGTAGCAAACACAACCAGTTTAGCACGTTACTCTGCATTTGCACGATCGCCGCCCATCCAGGGCAACTGCTCTGCAGGGTATCTTTAACGGACATAACCTTAGCTTTCAAAGCCGAACCCTGCAAAGGCTCGACTTGAAACAATGGCTGAACGACAAAGCTGCCCTACGTATATCAAGGCAAATTCTGGTTCGAGATGGGCTGGGAGAAGCGATGCGAACGTGAGCGCTGGGCTCATAGAATAGTGTGCAGTCTGCCATACACAACCCATGATGAAGGATCTGACTTTGTGAAGTTCGGCACAATGTCACAGCTGGTGCACGCCCTGTCCAAACGTGGCCTGAGAAACTTGCATCACAAAGCAAAGCTCGAGGAACAGGCAGTTTCCGTCCCTAAAACATCCTGCATGCGGACTCAACTGGCGAACAATCAAAGCTTGTTGTTTGCAAATGGCTTTGGAGATGGGTTTCAGTGAGAACGATGACATCAAAGTCTAGCTCTAAAATACGGCGTCTCTAAACTGCCTCCTGCAATCCACCAATATTCAGGGTGGCAATGGAAAGATAGGAGTCGCGAACCTGCCGATGCTGTCGATACCACGACATCTGAAGGTCGACCATGGTTGCCATGCAAAGCATGCATGAGCTTGTTCCGAAGTTTCCGTACAATGGTCCAAACTGAAGCACATGGCAAAATGAAGCCATTCTCGTGGAAAAACAAATGTGCTACAGGCCGTTGTGGTGTGCAAGAAGCATCCCTCGATGTTTGTCCTTGCATTGCAATCTGGGCCTTACGACGATGATCACCTTCTTCTGCAGCTGCTTGAAGCTTATTTTCAAGGGAAACTCCTTGCGTAGGAACGATGTCGCCCTCTTGCTCCTTAACAAATGCAATTGGCGCATAGAAATACACTTTTGAACTCTTGCTCTGCGACGCTTCACCCTCTGGCGGTGATGCTTGCACCTGTGAGAATCCAGGATCCACAGAATGTCGAAAAAGGACCAGGGGACCGAAGGCCAGGGGATGAAAGGACCAAAGGATGGGGGACCAAAGGACCAGGGGAGAAATGGACCAGGGCATCACTGGACAGGGGACCAACGGTCCAGGGGCCTACTCAGGATCATTGTATAAATTTGATCCTGTTCTCATTCCCCACCTGTCAGGTGAAGCTTGCAAGATTTTATGTCAGCTGCCGTGCTTCTCCTTCTCCTCTCCTCTCCTCCGCGACCTCAACCGCAGGTGTCGGATGGCAGTGTTCCCCGCCGGACCTCAACCGCAAGCGTTGGATGGCAGTGTTCCCCGCTGGACCTCAACCGCAAGTGTCGCAGATGATGGCAGCGTTCTCCACCGGACCTCAACCGCAAGGGTAGGATGGCAGTGTTCCCCGCCGGACTTCAACCGCAAGTGCAGGAGGGCAGCGTTCCCTCCGCCGGACCTCAATTGCAAGTGCAGCAGGACCTCAGCCGCAAGAATGTCAAAAGATATGCCACATATACCTGAACGACTGCCAAGAAAGACTGTCGGAAGATATGAGTCAGCGTCAAAAATATATGCTTGGAGTGTTTTCGTTTCACTTTTGTCAGTCCCCTATCGTTTTCCATGGCTTTGGGTTTTGCAAGTATGAACATGAGTACCCTATCGTTTTCCATGCTTTTGACCCCCCTCTTGCGAACAGCAGCACACACACATGCACATGGACCAACTTGCCAGGTCTAGGGTAGGGGTAAAAAACACAGTGACAAGCGGTGCCAGGAGGATTTGCCTCTCACATTGCATGTAAATAAGAACTGGAATCTGCACAGCCTTGGTTAACATGCATTGAGAGCCCCCCAAATCCACAACGCGACTGCTAGCAACAGGATATATCCGATCCAGGAAGCCCAACATGGAGGTGACCCACACCTGCCTCCTCCGAGCTGCACACACATTTTCAGTTCTGAGAAGATGAAGTGCTAGAACTGGAGCTGTCGCTGCCAGATGACGAGTCCGAACTTTCTGAGCCAGGGTTCATTGCAGCCTTTTTTTGTGCTACAGCCCTTTGCTTTTGCTTCTCTGCCCATTGCTTTCTTTTCTCAATCAAGCAATGGGCATCTGGCACCCCTGTGAAGCGCAAGTTTGCCCCATCTGGAAGTAGGTGGCTCTGGTCGCTCTGCCTCCTGGTCAAGGTAGTCTCCTCGTGAAGACCCAGGGGCCTAACATCATGGTCCCACCGCTCTCGCCCAGTTTCAGACCAAAAGCCTCGGCGGTATGCAGGGGCAGAATCCTTGCTGGGCAGGAGTTCCAAATCACTGGTGAGATTGGTGGCTGCAACCATGTTGGAGAAGACATGGTTGAACACCTTGACGCCCAGCCTGCTGGGACCTTGAGCCACTGGAGCACTGGAAAGACAATATGTTCGAGTAATGTGAAATTTTTTCGCCTGCAGGCGATATCTTTCGTTCGCCGGCTTTTTCTGGGAACCGACATCATTGATGATCACCAACAACGGGGCAGTAGCGTCTGCGCTGCGTGCTGCCTGGTTTTTGCCTGCAAGAAACTTGCGCAAGTCGGCAATCTCAACCAGGTCAGTGCCTTGCTTGCGGGCATCTTTCACATAGCGCTCAAAGATGGCAAATAATCTGTCTGCCTCGCTCTTGAAATGTTTTTCCACACCGTAGTGGACACATACTCGAGCTTGGTGCTGCACTGGCAGGACGCAGCAATAGTGGTGCAGTGCTTCGTAGGATCTAAAGTGCGGCCCGGCATCCGAAAGAAGATGAATGGTGTCCACCGGGTTTGTTCCCCTGCGTTGTCTCAGTGCCTGGTCGATGCACTGAGATGCCCGACAAGAGGTGTGATCCAAAATGTCTGATAGGATCAGAACCCGGGTCCACTCCACAGTGCCATCTCTTCTTCTTTCACTTACGACAGATCCAAAAATTGAGATTTCAATCCGTGCGTTTGCGAAGAACTCTTCTCCAGTCTGTGTGCTGCGGACTGGCAATGTGAAGAGTTCTTTGAAGTCTGACAGGACAACCACGGTACCTGCAGGAGGCTCCACCAACAGGTTTGTCAGCACTGGCTTTTGAAACTCATTGGCAGAACGATGGAAGAGGTAGCTGTCCAAGAGTTTTGACATTGCTTCCAGTTGCACACACATGTCCGCCTCCTTTGCGAAAAGGGTTACACGATTGCGCTGCGGGAAGCCGCTGCGCCTGTTCCGCAAGCAGCCCAAGCCACATGGCCAGGAGGTGTGCCTGTGTCGCCGACATGCCTCCTGAGCAGAATGATGCTCCACAAAATGCCGCAGCTGCCGCAAATGCAGGCCTGGCTTCTCAAGCAAAGAGTCATGGCCCTCAAACGCATCCCATTTGGCAAAATAGTTCGGCATGATGGCCGTGAGTTCGGAATGCACAGTGGCAAGCAAATCTTTCACCTGAGGGGCAGGTCTTCCAAATCTGACTACTTTCAGTTAAGCAACAAAAACAAAGCAACACAGAAGGCTTCGTGAGAGAAGTGGCTACTCCAGGCTACTCCATACTCTATATTAGTTACGCAGGCATGCATGGTTTGGGCACGCTGCCTGGGGAAGTACTTTCTTCTTGAGATCGTAGCAATAGATGCAATAGTCATTGATGCTATCCGCTTCTTTGAAATGTCTCAAATGCTTCTTTGCTAGACGCCAGAACGTGGACAAACCCAAAGATGCTCGTATCTCGGAACCTTGCTGCCAGATGCTTTTCTTGTCCTGCTTCAAAGTGCTCACGATCTTCCACTCCTGGTCCTGCGGGTCCCACGACAAACGGCTGCTAGGCTGTGAGGCTGCTGACAAAGCTTGCTCCACCATCTCTATGAGCTGTGGGTTGTTCTTCTTGTCAGGTCTTCCTCGCTTCCTGAGAGCGGGCTCTCGGTTCTGCTCTCCGGCACGTTTCCAGCGGATCCGCCCCATGCTAAAGCCGAATTCAGCTGCGCGGGCTTGAGTGCCACAAAATTCACGCACCATCACATCCACATGCTCCCTAACCAAGCGCACTGCATCCGGTGGGTTTGGCGAAGCAAACCCGGGGCATTTTGACAGGCGACCCAGAAGAAAAGACGAGATGGAAGTCAATGACCCACTTGATTCACCAGACACGAGCGAGCCAGCACCTCCGATGCGTTTGGACACTGCAGGCAGTATGTCTGGCCACCTCTGTGATAGCTGCTGCAGCACATGTGTGACATCAGTAGCAGCATCCTCACTGGTGACACACCTGTCTAAGCAGCTTTGCAGAGACTTTCTTCTTCGCCATCTCTGCACTCTGCCTGCCGGCTGTTTCTTGAACTTTGGCGACTTGATCACTTTCTGGCGCGCGTTGGTCGAGGCTGCTTTGGCTTTTGGCTTCGCACTGGCCTGAGATTGCGCAGCTGCCCGCTCGATGAGCTCAGTCCGCTGGGCCTTGCTGAGGGTTGTCCATTTTTCTTTCCACACGTAACCCTCCAGCCAAAGTCGCTGAGCTGCATTGAGCCCACGCCCGTCCACTGCTGCTGCTGCAGCTTTCCCTCGCGGCCGTTTGGCTTCTCCAGGCACGGCTTCCCGAGCACGGGCTACTAGGACCGGACCTTCCACATCATCCTGTAAAGCTTCCTTCAACAGCAGCCGCATGCCAGCCATTGCTTTCGGCGTCTTCCCCATCGCTGTAGAAAAAAAGAGTATTCGTAGGGTATCGACAGGGGTCAAACTGGTCTTGGCATCACATGACAAGTTGGGCCTATACAGAGGGGTATCGATAGGGTATCGATAGGGCTATCCTGAAGACCTCCTCTGATCACTAGATTTCGGGCCAAGAAAACGTAAGATTCTGAAGGAGTGGCTCGTATGACTCGGCTGTTATCAATGACCAACCAGCTCCAATACCACAAGCTACCCTGCACTGGCATAGCCCTCTTCGTTGGGCAAACCACTACCG